CCCGATTATCGGCCGGGTGGGGTGCCTCGATCGTTGACGATTATCGACCCCATTGAAACACCGACGTGAATGAATCCAGCGACATCGAGACCCTTACCGTTCGTATTCTCTTTCCGTCCCTTCTCTTTCTCTTCATCGTTTCGTCGTAAGAGTAGGGAACTGCCGTATATATTACATTAGAAGGCTGATATTTCATTCATTCTACCAGCGAATCTCTCGACCCTTCACGTTTCAACGCACTTACTCGTCTTTTGGAGTGCAATTGATTGTAGACGGTTTTTGTTCACTTTTTAATGTGCGTGCAATTGATTTTGCACGGTTTTTGTTTACTTTTTAACCCTTTAGTCGACAAGTTTTCGGCAGGTGCATCAGTCAGAGCTGCCAAATTATTATTGTAGAGTTAAAGTAAAGAAAGAATGTTGAAATGTTAGGTATATTTTGAATTTAGTGATTTTTAATTATACAAACTGCAATCGGTATCATACTCGATCTTTATGCAAATGCGATTTAGTTTTGTCACATTTGAACTGTAACTTACGTTACGACTCTGACTCCATATTATAGGCTAAGAGGTTAATGTAGATGCAATTGACTTTGGACAGTTTTTGTTCACTTTATAATATGAGTACAACTGATTTTAGTTGCTCTCTGTTTGCTTTTTAATGTGTTTGCGATTGATTTTATTTGGTTTTTATTCACTTTTTAATTTAGGCTTGCGGTTTGAGCGTCATTAATCCATGCGCGTTTAATGTGCGGTAAGAACGCCCATGGGTTACATGTATAATTCACGCATGCGTATTGTCGGCTCTATTAGCACGTGATATGCGACCAATAAACGGATAAGTGAGGGGAACATGTGTGTGATTGGCTTACTTTTAATGCACGTTTTTGGGAATTTTTAACAACTGACACAGATTGCACAGTGTATTATACAATGTTGTTATATAATTTTACATGATAGTTAAACAATGTCATATATGAAAAGTTTTTTAATCTATGAGTTTGCAGAAGTTACAAGTTTTTGTGATTAAGAAACTTCTAAATTTTCAAATTTATAAATCTTAAAAAAAAATTTCAAAATACAGAACTTCTTAATTTTAGAAATTTTGAAAATCACAAATTCTCCAAACTAAAAGTCTAAAAATTTGTAAATTTCAAAACTAAAAATTGACAACATCACAAAATTGCAGATTCAACCGTATAAATATCTAAAATCACGTATTCTCACATCTGCAAATTACAGAACTTAAAGTTCTAAAATTTCAAAACTTGTAAACTTTTAAATTAGTAGGTCAAAGGACCACCTGCTATATTACCAATTTTTATAGCTTCATTTTGATGTAAATAATAAGAGTCAACGATATCTATCACATTACTGATTTGGTACAGTATCCGATAATATCGATTTTTGCTTTAAATACTGTCTTTGAATGCATTCAGAATGTCTTATGCTAACATACTTAATAAATCTGACTCATCAATTTAAAATTATTTAATTACAAATAAACTTTCACTTACAAAGTAACTAAACGAAATTTGCTGACACCCAAACAAAATTGAGTTAAATTAAACTAAGATTAAATTAAAAACTGGTTACTTGGACAAATATGTTGAAGATGGACTCGCCCACAAAACTTTAACCAGAATTATAACCGAATAGTTCCATAAATCACACACGATCATACGCAGTAGCTGTACATACATGAAAAACAAACAGAGGGTAACATAAGTAACACGATTTTATTTCCCATATTCATAGCCCTTCGCCGGCATTAATCTGATAAAGGTAGAATGAATATGCAACAAGTACGAGTTGCGCACATTCGCACAGCGTGCAATCGAACAAACGTAACTCTTCCTCTTCATCTTGATAGAGCAACCTCATAGGCTCATTAAAGTACGCGAGTCATAAAAAAGGAGGGATACTCTCCACCAGGAAGATTGAAAGGAAAAATCAATTTTTCTTTTCATGTTGCTCGTATCGTAAGAATTTATGTATTCCTATCGTTGCTTATCTCTCAATCTCCGCTATCGTTTTAGTAAGACGGAAGCTTAGGGTGGCACACAACACATTCAAAACGATCTCTTCGCGAACGTAAGAAAGCTTGCGATAACAGATGGTGTTATGGTAATTTTATGGTCCCTCTTCCCCCTTTCTTTCACTCGTTCATCGTTCGGCTTCTAATCGAGTCAGGATGAATTTACATTTTTCGTATTTCCCCGCGCACGGACGGAATTCCTTCGGTCGTTTGTACATGTACGCGGTCGGGATGTAAAATGCTCGTAGTCTCGATTCCCGGCACGCGCCGATTCTTTTATTCTTTATGTTAATCGCAGCTGAATAAAAAGCCTGCGTAACCGGCCGCCATGATCGAGCCATTGTTATGCGTGACGCGATTGCCTGAAATTCAAAGACTTTTCGCAGCGTTTACCTCGCCCCTGTATAATCGACTGTTAACGCGATCGTATCAAGAAATATTCCCTGTCCCTCGGGGATGAGATTTCGTTGGATTTTCATAGATAGTTAACTGATAACGTGTCAAGAAATTTTACACGGTTTATAGGAACGATCGTTGCGTTAATCGTGACATTCTGTTTGAGTTATTTGATCAATTTTGAATGCAAATGCGGTGATTTTTATGCGAGCTACGTTCGAGGTGCGGAAAGAATTTATTTGTTATGACAGGATAATGAGATTTGAGTTTATACGAGCAATTAGTAATTTCATTATGTTTTAATTCGGGCACTGATGAGCAACGGTTAGACATTTGGAAATTCAATAATTTTCACATTTTGTTAAATTTTTACATATTTAAATTATTATGTATTAACATGGAGAAATGAAGAAATTTCTTAACTTCTATATGTGAAAATTCAATAATAGAACATTTGGAACTTTTATTTCTGCATTTTTAAGTTTCTGATTTATGAAATAAATTATCGAACTTCGAGTTATTAAATTTATAAATGTCCACATTTTCAAATTACTAAATTTTTAAGTAAAAGTATTATCAAATTCTTTAATTTTTTAATGTCAGTATTTTTTAATTTATAGTTTCCAAATTTCTCAATTTCTGAAGTTCAAAATTTTCAAATTTCTAAATTTCTACATTTCTAGCTTTCCAAATCGCTAAAATTTTCTCTAAATTTCTAAATTTCTAAATATCCACGTCGCTAAATTTTTAAATCTCTAAAAATCTAAATGTCTAAATTTCTAAACCTCTAAATTTCCAAATCTACATTTCTAAATTTTTAAGTTCTTGCAATCCTATGTTTCTAAATTTTCAAGACTAAGTCATTCTCTGAATTTCTAAATTCCTACACTATTAAATTTCTAAATTTTAAAGATTCTAAATCATTCTCTAAAGTTCAAAATTCATTAATTTATAAATTTTCCAAACTCTAAATCTTTCTCTAAATTTCTAAACCTCTAAATTGTAAAATGTACACATCTAAATTTCTAAATTCTTATACTTCTAAGTTTCTAAATTTTCAAGACACTAAATCATTCGCTAAATTTCTAAATTTTTAAATCTGTAAATATGTAAATATGTAAATATGCAAATCTGTAAATATGTAAATATGTAAATCTGTAAATCTGTAAATCTGTAAATCTGTAAATCTCTAAATCTTTAAAACACTGAATGTGGCCATTTACAAATTTCTAAACTTTGAAATCTCTAAATTCCTAAACATCTAAATTTCTGCTTTTCCAAATCATTAAATTCCTCAGTTTCCAAACGTGAACATTTGAAAATTTTCAAATAATCAAATATGTCAATTTGCAAACCTGAAAATTTAAACGTTCAAAAACTTCTAAATTTGTAAATCGAGCTGGAAAATCCATAAATCCATAGCTTGCTAAATTCATACACGTCCAAAACTTCAACATTTTTTAATAGCTAAGTTACAAAATTATCCATTTACCATTTTCACATTTCAAAATTCGGAAATTTAATAACTTGAAAATGTAAAAGCTTAAAATTTGAAATGTCTTTGATATTCCTCTACATTTCATTTTCCGTTCACAAACTCTCCTACTAAACTCACGTTTTTAAATTATAAATGACTTCTAATTATTTCGATAGAGATCACACGCTTCGACTAAGAAACAGTAACAAAATAACACAGTGCCTAACACTCATTTCAAATATCTCATGAAATAACCTGAAAACACTGAAAACTCGAAAAGGATATATCCAAGAAAACGTTCGTGTCAGAGTTGAAGTCATTAACGAAAATAACTAACTCCAGTATCTAAAAAGATCTAGCAACGGCGAGTGTTCTCATACAACCGCAATAACTATTTCAAATATAGCAGTTACGTTCAATTATTTTCTCATCTATAAGTTCTACATAATCAAACAGCGCGAACGCCGCAAGAAACTTTTCCCGCTCCGCGTAAATCCTCAACAGGCACGGCATCGCATGGAAATTTCCCTGATGATATCTTTGGAATCGCGCGTAATCAATACCACGGTATTAAGAAATTTTCTCCGTTTCATGGAAACGTAACACGAGTCGAAAAATAATCGACGACACAATCGACCGCCATCGAAGCAGCAAGAACACCCGTTAGCGTTGAATCGCGCAATCATCGTCGCGATTAATGCTTCGATTGATCGTGTTGTCGAATTAATGTTATTTATCTTCGACGTTGGCGCACTGGCGTCGCGCGTATCACCGTAATCGCTAATTATAGTTTCGAGCCGGCTTGTTAATTACCCGGTCTGCGATCCGCGCGAGCAAAATGCCAGTATTATTGACTCGCTAAACAGAGAATAGTCTCGACCATATTTTCAGCGTATTTGCGTGCGTAGCGAAGTTGCACGGTGCACACATCGAAATTTTGGACGCGTGACGTCAGCACTCCTCTTACGCGCGTTTCAACGATCACCGGTGATTAAACAGCAATTACCAGCCTGGCGAATCGAATTATTGTATCGAAGGGGTGAGATACCATCCCCCTTCGTACGGAGAAAATCATAAATCTCACTCACCTCTGTGCCTGTTGGTCTGCTTGTCGAACATCAGCATGGCATCCTCGATCTGCAATTCAAAAGAAGAAACATGTTAATTGCTGTGATCGTGCAGAGACATTGGAAATTTCGCGCGATAGGTAATTGTGTCGAGTCTGCTCTAATATCTCAAATATTCTAGCTATTTACGTCGGCGATAGGTATTTTGCCCTGAATGTGATACCAAGCTGTAATGAACTCTGATACGCTATTTATCGTCATTTTTTATTTGTTCGGAGAAACGAATTTTATATTGCTTTAGGAATGCATATGGAATCAGAGATGTTTAAAATTTTTCGAGAGTCTACAGATGAATTTAAGATTTTGAGGCTATAGACAGGTTTGAGACGTTTTTTTAAAGGGCTCACAGAGGGACTTAAAATTTCAAGGAGAAATACAGTTAATTTTTGAAAGATGGTAGGTCCTATTGAATTTTCAAAAGAATACTACAAACAAGTTAAAATATTTCTGTTGGGACATCTGTATCTCATCAAAGATTACTATAACTGATTCTCTTTATTTTATAATTTTTGCGTTTTCTAATATTTCAAGATTTTCGAATTTTTAGTATAAGTACAGCTATTTGCAAAAGTAAGTTTGTAAATATTTTCAAAAGAACTCATATTAAAATATTGGAATATTGTACATATTATACTGAAAGATGCTACATATATGCTATATTGAAATATGCTACATATACTGTATTGAAAGTTCGTATAGATAAATTACCAAGAAGTAATTTCTGAGCTATTTAATCAAATGTAATTTGTAACTGCAATTTTAAGAACTGTGTACAACACAATAGTATTATCATACAAAGTAGAATTATTAATAAAATTTTCATCCATTCTCAGTAAAAGATATTTTGCATTAAATTAAAAATCTCGTCAAAACATCGAATAAACAACAAATTTCGCAACACATTACGAATACATTTCGTACTAAACAACTGGTTAAGATAAAGGTATTATACTGAAGAAAAGACTATGAGTCTCAATGAAACATTGTAACATTATAAGTCACCGACTCTAACTCGCTGTTGCCGGGAAAACAACCCCTTCTACGTGTCAAGATTCTAAAATACCCCGCTGAAAGCATTATGGATCGTAAACAGCCCCGTGGAAACACAGCTCAAGAAGTTGGGGTGGCACGACAAATTTTTGAAGGGCGATCAACTTTCCTTGGTAAGGAAATTACTCTCGCAAGTTTCATAGAAACACACGAGCACGACTTTGCTGAATGTAATTTTCCCTCTGAACACGCCTCATTTTTATCATACTGCTTCTAGCAAATTATCCGGACTACTCATTCGTCAATTAAGTACTGCCCTCGTTAAATCTCTGCGATCAATACGCATGATCGAGTTTTTAGCTCGACAAAATTTCAGTAATTCTGGTAATGGTTGATTTAGACGTTCAAACTTCTAGAACCATTTTGAAATTATTCTTGTTAAATAGATCTATATTAAAATATATATTGTAATTTGTATGCGATCGTATGTATAAACCTAATAAACCTAATAATCCTAATAGACTTAATAAACCTATAAACTTAACCTAACCCTTGTTTTTAATTATCTGTGTTATAGCGTGTTTGACCACAAACGTCAATCTTCACTATGACGATATAATGTTTTTATTAAATAATAATAATGACGAAATAAAATGAACAGTAAGTCACACATGTGTGTATTTACCACTCACACATCGCTATTAATACCCTTTAACCCTCGAAAGCAGTTTAATGATTTGGAACTATTAAATTCCAATATTGTTCTACCGTTTCGATCGCAACCCCATCGGCATAAGAGCGAAGCCGAAATCGCAGATAGGATCGCTCGTATTCTTCCAGAAGGTACATATGTGTCGTAAAACACAGCTGGATCGAGATTTACGAAGCACACGGTCGAGGAAGGCGTAGCAAGGGGATTGAGAAGCGGGAGTTGTAGCAGATCCCTCACACCCTCGATTTTCGGGGGTGGTGTTGTCGGTAACCTAACCGAAGTGCGAGAGGTACTGGAGAAGCGTAGGAGGCGGGAAGGCGACGCGACCGGCAGGATTTATGGGACAGGAGAAACAATAGGGATTACCTTCACCCTCTACCGCCCTTCAAGTTCGTCCTCGCTTTGTTCCTTCCTGTTTCCTGCGAAAGGACCACAAGCCCGAAACGATAGAAGTAGCGGGCACGTGAAAACGGATCGGGATTATTCCTCGGAGAGAGCCGGAAAAGGGGTGAACGAGGAGAAAGAGTGTAGCGTAAGCCGCGATGCAACGGGGTAAATATTAGATTATGCGATTAACATTCGATGGACTTCATCACGGAGGGGGACAGCTTTATCCCGTTTGCATCTGTCAACGCAGCGTAATTCTGTTTACCGTTTTACGTAATATGCTTCGCGGCAAAAGTAACATCGGAAGGGCGTATGCCCGAAGAGATAGGGTGGCGTTGATTTAGGATGCAGCTCGAAAATGTTGGTCAGCCGTGGTAAAGATAATCAAGAGAGGAAACGTTACTTGGTTACGAAATTGTATGCATAGGAGTTGAAATTGTTCGGAGAATACGTGGAAGATCTTTGTTACTAACAGCTACCTATATACATGGTAATAGTTATGTAAATAACTTATCGTGGGGTGTGTTGTACGTGAATTTTGTTGACAAGTATGAACAAGATTCACGGACAGAGTTTTAGGACGGGATGAGTTAATACCGTTAGAAGCTCCAAATATAGACTAAAACTTGGTGAGTATATATGCAAAGTATCAAATTTTGGCGCCAAATTTTACTAATATATTCATCATATCAAAATAAGAAACTGCTAGAACTTAGAAGGCAAGAAAAAATATTAACATAGGGATTTAACGATATTGAAAAGTTATGACAAACATGCAAAATGACTTTGGACTGCTGTGTTTAATGCCACAGAATGTGCACCAGTCTTGTATGCAAATATTTACCATGTTCCATAATTCTTTTATCTAAAGAAATCTTACGTTTCACCTAACTGTACATATCAACAATATAAATCCTTCATATCCTGATTAACATTTTCTATCATACTCAATAGAATCAAGAAAAAAGATAAACATACTATAAAACACTAAATTGATTTTCAGACACAAATGCACATATGACTCCAAACAAAATTTTAATTAAAGAAACAAAGTTAATCTCTCCACTTCCAAGTATAACATCGGAAAGAAACTCGTTCCATTAATTTCATACATTGACCGCTACGTGCCGTAAAACTTTCGCGCAAGCAATCTTTCGCATCTCGGATGCTGAAAGAAATAACGGAACTGTCATAAATTACCATAAGCACCCTAGACAAAGTCGTAAATAAAAAGAACCGGTGAAATTCATCTTGCCAAATCGTTTCGACATTTTTCACCGTCCGGAATTGTCATGTTTATCACGCAGATGGAAATTGATACCAAACACGTTGGTGCTTTCCGGCCGTCGTCTGGATTTCAGACTGAGCCGTTCTCGGGGCGAAGGGTTTGAGGACGACGGGTAGGGTTTGTTTGAATATCGTTAACTGTTTCGTGAACGCGTCGAGAGGAACGGGGATTGGAAGCGAAAAAAGAAGCGACCAACAGCTTGTTCCTAAAGATCCGTTTCGTTGGAGCTAACGAGAGAGCAGCCACGTGTAAGGTTCGTAGACGTTGCAGTTGCTTCAACGAGGAAACGATTCAAAGCATGATCGTTCTGTAGCACTACTTAATTATCTTCCCCAGAAAGAAATAATAATAAAGCGGCGGGTCGATCCTTTAAAAGCGACCAGAACTGGTTGCCTACGCGTTCACGGATGACGATTATTCATCGGAATGATTCAGGACCCGTTGCTTTGAGAAGCACGCGAAGCATAGCAAGGAATTGAGTTTCTTAGACGACGTTCGTCCCATTTTTATTTTCAAAAGAACGAGTAATATTATACGACGGAAAGAAGGCCATGAGGAGAGAAGAAGAGAGAAGGACAGACGGACCGAAGCTTTTAATGAAAACAGAAGAAGCATCGCAGCGTAAGACTGACACCAGGGACCCCTAGCCAAGTCTTTCACTACCGCGATATTTTTTTCTCTTCTTTCACAAAGTCCACATCTTTCCATTATTTCCTTTTTTTCGTATCACACCTTTGGCGGCATCGTTGACAGTTAAATCAAAGCCCGAACATCCCTCGTTTGACGCCTTCGAATTTAGCCCTGTCCAAATACACGCTCGCAACCGATAGTGGGTGAAGATAGCAACGATTTCGCGTGGGAGTTACGAACACCTACGTGCTTTCGAACTTCGGGGTATACATTGCACAAATTTTTAATAGACGTGGGCAGTACATTTCAGACCAAAACGGACGTAAACGTAGGTGATCGATAAACGTGGGACGCATCACGCTGGAATTAAATTTAGCAAACTCTGACGAATGCCGTGTTTGGATAGCAAAGACAACACAGAGTGAACCATCGAACTGTTTTCTTATAAAAATATAGTTTTAACTTTAAACTGAGCTTTGGTAAATATTGTCAATTGTTTAAAATGAAAGAATGTAATGTATATCAATTTTAAATAAAAAAGCTTAAAAATTATTTCAAATAAAAGAATGTATGTCAATTACTTTAAATGTACTCAGCTTAAATAGAGCTGAATATATTTCAGATAAAGTTGAAGATAATTATTGTAGTTGTGTTAAAAAATTCAGCTAACTTGACAGAGATAAATAATATTACAGAATATTTTATTTAAGTGACTCAAATGTCAAACTCAAAAAATACGAAAACTATTTTATTAATTTAATTTATAATATAATTTCAATAGCATTAATCAACATCTGGTTAATATTTAGTATGTTATACCAATGAATATTATTTCATAATGTTTATAAAATATTTTTATATTTTTTGTTGTCATAATTAAAAAAGATGTATGCTTGGTCACACTTACACAAGACACCCCGTAATTTATATTGTAAATATCTTTAATTACGAAATATAATGCAAACACAAAAATGGCGTTAGATACAAAACACATTTCAACTCT